GAACTACAAGATAGTATTTCAGAAGGTTATAGATATATATGTATGTCTTATAAGACAATTAATCTGAATATAGACAATTAACCTGAATGTAGACTTTCTATGTAATCAAAATCTTCTAGAAACCACTCAAATATGGAACTATTGATACGTCTCTAGAAATACTGTGGAGGAGGAAATAAGAAAGATTTTGAGAATGGGAAATTGTAGACAAGAGATAAGGAAAATTGGAAACAGAGAGAACGTCATAAAGGGAACCAGGAGTGGAAGGAGATCAGAATAGAGACAATGATATAGTGAGGCAGAGGAACAGAGACAGGGAGACATAACCATCAAGAGGGAGGATTCAGAGCAAGGAAGTTACCAGGGATAAAGAAGAACATTACATAATGATAAGGGTCAGTTCACCAAGAAGACATAATCCTAACATGTATGCACCTAGCAATAGGGCATCAAAATACATGAGCCAAAACCAGTAGAATTGAAAGTAGAAATAGATGAGCCTACTATTAGAGTTGGAGACTTCAACATCCCTTCATCAGAAACAGACCCAGCAGACAGAAAATCAATAAGGATATAGCTGAACCCAACAACACCATCAATCAACTGGGTATAATGAGTATCTATAGACTGCTCCATCCAACAACAAAGAGCAAAATACACATTCTTCTCAAGCTCACAGGGAACATTCACCCTGGTAGATCATATTCTGGGATATAAAACACACCTGAACAAATTCAAAAGAATAGAAGTCACACAATGTGTGCTTTCAGACAACAATGGAATTGAAGTAAAAATCAGAAGCAGAGAGTGAGCTGGAAATCCCCAAATATTTGGAGGTTAAACAACATTCTTCTAAATAACACATGGGTCAGGGAGGGAAATCTAAGAAACTTTAAAGTATTTTGAATTAAAAGAGAGAGAAGGGTTCTATTGAGTACATTAGTAGTAATGATTATTTTTTATATTACTTAGGAGTACACCATCCAATACCTCGGTTGAACTAAAGATTTAAAAAATAGTTTTCATTTCAGGAATGCTGTGTGACTCATGCCTACAGCATTAGAAAAGAGTTTGTCAGCTCCTCAGATCTTAAATTTTACTTTTGAAACCCAGGCCCCATCGAGTACTGGCAGGTTTGTTCCTGTGTAAAGAAATGATTTCAATCTTAGATATTTACTTTGAAACCGTGAAGACACTGGATAATTTATTAGTCATCAGTTTGCCAATTTTTAAATTGCATCTTATATATATATAAGATACATCATTTATAGCGCAAAACAATGTCTGAATGTTACATTTGGAACTGAGATATATTTAATTTCTTTTGTACTTCCTCCTTTCACTTCTGCCAGTCCTTTAGCAAAGTTAATCCATTGATTCAGGTAAGAGGCTTTCAGTATCATGTAGAATAAAATAAAATATGGGGAAAAAAGAAAATAGAAATGTCTTTCAACTGTCTGAGGCTTAGATATTTTGGAGATTCTTCTTCAGTGTTGTTTTTTTTTTGCCTTGTAAAAATGTCCTTAATGGGACAAGCAGGATTTAAACAAGGCAGAAATTCCAGACCCAGTGCAAAGATGGTCCAAAAATTCAATATTTAGGCATTCACTTATTCTTGTATATTCATTCATTCATTCATTTGTTCACTCAATAAACATTTTGTAAGTGCCCGAATTACAAAAATGAGTATACTTTTTCCTGTTCAAAGTTATATATTATGACCCAGTCCTGTAAAAGAAAGCAGACTTTCAGCTCATATGACAACTGTTCTTTTTTTAAGATTTCTTTATTTTCAAGAGAGAGAGAGCACCTGAGCCTGAGCAGGGCGAGGGTCAGAGAGAGGGGGAGAGATAATCTCCCACAGACTCCCTGCTGATCAGGGAGCCAGAGGCGGGGCTCGATCTCATGACCCTAAGCTCATGACCTGAAGCCAAAGTCAAAGTTGGATGCAGATGCTTAACCGACTGAGCCACCCAGGTGCCCCATGGCAACTGTTCTTAATCTTAATGTCTTCACTAGGCCCTCCTGTCTCGTCTGTACCTTTAAGTTTCAAAGAGATTCAGACTTTGCAAGTAATTTTCTTTTTCTTTCTGTAACCATTTGGAAGTTGCAAAATCAATTAAGGAAGGACTGAATAAAGATATTGTGCTTTTTATAAGATGTGGGTTCAAATGCATTTTCACAACTAAGTATTTTCATATGCTTTGTATGGGTTTTCCAAATAAATGTAAAGGGCTGTCCTAGCACAGTAATTTTTTTATATAATTCTAAAAAAATAAATAAGCCCTGGTCATGTTTTAGGAGTTCATGGTATCTATTAGTGACTTGATGTATCCATTAGTTAATCCATTTGTGATTTGATGATATAATAAACATTTATTGATAATGTTTATTCTAAAAAAGTCATTTGTTGATTCTAGAGAGGGATTTAATGGGGATGTCCTTCAGGTCCCAGTTAGCTGCTCAGACAAACTTTTTTTGGGTTGTATTTTAATGAGGTTATCTCTGTCCCAGGCCTGGTCCCCACTTTATAGATCCAGCTCTGGAAATTTTGTTAAGTATGTACATTTCCATCCATATCCTAATATTCAAACTAAAAGGAAAAAAAAAGGAACCATGCATAAACCTGAATGGAATTATTTATTATAAAAATATTGGCAAAAGCTTTGCTTAGTAGCACATTCCCTATTTGTCAAAATATCTGCACAGGAAGGCAAATTAATACCTCATGGTTAATTGGTGAGCCTGGACCCCAAGCAGAGGGCATTCACTGGAGATCTTAGAATGAGGGTTACTGATCACTGCTCACTCAAGCCACTTGGACTGAGGATACAGACCCCCCAGGAGAACTGCTTTCTCATTCCCTGGACAGTACAGAAAGAGGTGCTGGCAAACACCAGCCCTCCTGAATCACCCCCTTCTCTATTCCTCAGCCTTTCTGCAGATATGCACCCAAATTGTTACATTTGGGTCCCCTACTTACAATCAGATCCTCCCCCCTTCCTGGTTCCGTGAGATTGCAGCAAAGCACTTTGAGTGGAGTTGGGGATGGACTCACATCCCCCACCTACACGTTTGCTTGGGTTGTCATGTTTCCTTCTCCAGTTCTTCTCATCCATGATAAGTGTGTTTTGCGAGTTTTATTTTTCAAGAAGCAGTGTTATTTCTCTTATTCTCAAGTTCCTCAGGGAGCATCTCATTAATGTCTCCGTTGGAATTAATGACACTGGACTAGGGTCTTAAACCGGCAGCATCTTTCTTTATGGGAATTCCGGAGAGACTTTTCTTCAGAGGCAAGAAGGCACAAGTTCAATAGTTCAGCCTCAGGTTATTTTTGCCTAGTAAAGGCACCAACAAAATGCGTGCACTAGAAAGATGCTGATTTCTACAAGGTATATGGAGGAAGCCATTACTAAGGACTTAAGGACAAGACAATTACTATTTGGCACATCACCTATTCATAGAAGCCTCGAATACCTGACCACCAGTGTGTTGCTATAGCAATCCGTAAATGACAAATTCACTAAATTATCTCTTTGCCAAAAATTTTTAAATTAGCTATCTATAAAGCACTTAGCAATTCTTATATTATCGAAGTAAGGCAGACTTCATTTTTTAATAAATGGTTGTTGTAGTTTTTTTTTTTTTAAGATTTTATTTATTATTTGACAGAGAGAGAGAGAGAGAGCACAAGCGGGGGGAGCAGCAGACAAAGGGAGAAACAGGCTCCCCGCTGAGCAGGGAGCCCAGTGCGGGGCTCTATCCCAGGACCCTGGGATCATGACCTGAGCTGAAGGTAGATGCTTAACTGACTGAGCCACCCAGGTGTCCCTGTTTCTTGTGGTTTTGAATTTCACAAGGGTACATGATGCAAATGCTAAGCCATACAGCATCATTCCAAGTATGGCCTTTCTTAGTTATATTAGTACCTGGATTTGCTCTTTTAATAGAAGTAGAGAGGAGATGAATTACAAATAGTGCATATAGGGAACTGCATCTTAAAATGTCTTCACATGGATCCATACACACCACAGCCTTCAAATCAAGCGTGAACGCCTCACCTCATACTTGTTTACACGCCTGCCCACAAAGTCTAGACTTATGATACATGAACACTGGGCAGCCTGCCAAAAAAACAATTCCTTCAAAGTTTATGGATTGTTATTTGGAACCATTTTTTGGTAAATCAGTAGCTAGGAATCAATCAATAGATTGCTAAATGGCCAATTGTCAGTTTGTATCCGTCACCCACTGTAAAATATAGTCAATAGAGCCTGTATGTAGCCCATCCACTGATTCCTTCTTTGCGACCCTAAACAGTCACAGAAGATGCTCCTTCTTTCATCGCATAAGCTCCTCTAAAGTGCAAAGGTGGATTTCTGTTGCTGAAAGCCGCATGGTTGATATTTCTAGTGAGAAACTGGATTTTCACGTCTCTTTCCTAGGCTACTCTAATTTTCGTATCTGGAGTCCTTCCATGACTGATGACCTCTACACTCCAGCAGTTCTCTTAATAATTCTGGCACGTGCAGCGCCAAGATAATCCGTATTTAATGGTTACTTTATTTCATCTTTGGCTTGACATTCTTCCTCCCCATTACAGTGTCATTGGCTCTAGGTAATCTGTCCTTGGTGACATAATCCCCTTTCTGTAAAACTGGTTGTCAGATTAAGTGATTAACTTAATGTGTAACTAGATTGTTAACTTTAATAGTTTATCTTCTAAAAATGACAAAATGTATAATATGTCTAGATGTTTTTTTTTTTTTAAGATTTTGACAGAGAGAGAGATAGGGAGAGCAGGAACACAAGCAGGGGGAGTGGGAGAGGGAGAAGCAGACTCCCTGCTGGGCAGGGAGCCCGATGTGGGACTCGATCCCAGGACCCTGGGATCATGACCTGAGCCGAAGGCAGACGCTTAACGACTGAGCCACCCAGGCGCCCCTAGATGTTTTTTTTACAATTCCATCCCAATCTTTCCATTTTCTCTTCATAGTGGAATGGGGGAAAATCAGACAGTGGTGACAGAGTTCATTCTACTAGGATTTTGTCTTGGCCCAAGAATTCAGATGGTTCTCTTTGGGCTCTTCTCTCTGTTCTATGCCTGCACCCTGCTGGGGAACAGCATCATCCTGGGGCTCATCTGGCTGGACTCCTGACTGCACCCCCCCCATGTACTTCTTCCTCTCCCACCTGGCCATCGTCGACATAGCCTATGCCTGCAACACCATGCCCCAGATGCTGGTGAACCTCCCGAAGCCAGACAAGCGCATCTCCTTTGCTGGCTGCTTGACACAGACCTTTCTCTTTTTGACTTTTGCTCTGACAGAATGTCTTCTCCTAGTGGTGATGTCCTATGATCAGTATGTGGCCATCTGCCACCCCCTCCAATATTCTGCCATCATGAGCTGGAGGGTCTGCATCACCCTGGTGGTGACTTCCTGGGCATGTGGCTCCCTGCTGGCCCTGGTCCATGTGAGCCTCATCCTGAGGCTGCCCTTCTGTGGGCCTCGTGAAATCAACCACTTCTTCTGTGAAATCCTGTCTGTCCTCAAGCTGCCTGTGCTGACACGAGGCTCAACCAAGTGGTAATTTTTGTGGCTTCTGTGTTTGTTTTAGTCGGGCCCCTCTGCTTGGTGCTATTTGCCATCCTGAATATCCAGTCTGGGGAGGGCCGCAGAAAGGCCTTCTCCTCCTGTTCCTCCCACCTCTGTGTGGTGGGGCTCTTCTTTGGTAGTGCCATTGTCATGTGCATGGCCCCCAAATCCCACCACCCTGAGGAACAGCAGAAGATCCCTTTCTTGCTTTACAGCTTTTTCAACCCTATGCTGAACCCACTGATCTACAGCCTGAGGAACGCGGAGGTCAAGAGTGCCCTGAGGAGAGCGCTGTACAAGGAAGGTCATTCCCAGCTGGAGTGACATTGGAATCCCTAGGCTCAGTAGTTCCCTGGAGCTTTGGGTACTGTGTACCACCTAAGCTTCTCACTCTTTATATCTGAGACTGAATAATCCAAGAGATTCTGTAAAGCACTCCCTTTTTCTGTCCAGGAAGTACTTGGGTTTTTTTGCATTCATTATATGTAATTCTATCAAATATATTCTTTCATCTAACTGCACAGTCAGTTGAGAGCACCTAGAGGAATAAGTTGATTTCATCCACTGCTGTGGATCCCAAAAGGTTAAAATAGACACTCTACCTGTGACTTCATCAGGTGTGCTCAATAATAGCAGAATGCAGGCTTTACCGGATATAGCCACATCAGTTACCATTTTTTAAAATATTGTAGCCACAGAGATTTAGGACCTGTTGATACCTTTTTCCTTTTTTACTCCATATTAGGACGTTTCCCCTTAGTTGTACTTCTTCTTATAAATAGTAAATGTACCTAAATGCCTACTTAGACTTAGGGGAACACTGACTTTGTTGACTAAACCTTATAATCTGTCTTATAAATTTCTGTGGTCAGAAAGTAAGTCTGCACACATTCAGCTGGCATCCCAGGGAATTACCCAATGAAATCCACTTTCCAGCCTGCCCTGGGCTTTTGATGACCACTTGTTTATAAACTCTTCTCACCTGCTTAAGAAGAGTATCTGTGATTCTCTTTGGACAAACACATACTCTTCACTAGGAGGAGTTAGCAAGTGCTACAACCCAGCTCTCAATGATCAAGTAGTGATGGAAAGCCCCAAGTAGAGGCAACTGAATGGGGAGAAAAGGTTTTAACAATAATAACAGTAGTCAACATTATTACTATGTACTTACTCCATGCCATCCACTGCACATAGATAGCTAATTTACAGAGATCACCTCATTTTATCATAAAAACCCATTTCTCATTACCATCCCATTTTACAGATGTAAACATTAAGCAAATGGCAAATGCTAGACCCATGCCCCAATGATCTGACTCCCAAGCCTTCTTTATACAATGTAGTACACCATTATCAATATGATCAAATTAAGAATAAGGCTAACCTATCCCAACCTAGTATATTCTAAGTGTATATGGGTTTCTTCTCAGTCTAATAGGTGCTGCAATGAGGCTGGGAGAGCCAGAGATTATAGAAGGTCTCTTATCCCGGTTGGTGACTCCTATGGTCATGGTCACAAAGAACATTAGGAGCTTCTGAGCACAGAGAGGGTAGGAATGGAGACTGCTCTCAGTGAGGTGAGAGGTTTGGTTTAGAGCTCAGCTGGTAGCAAGACGCAGAACCAAAGCATCTCTAGTTTTACACACAACCTCTCACAAGTTCATGCACATTCGTGTGCATGTGTGCACACACACTTATGGACTCCTTACTATGGCGAAGCACTCTGTTCTAAGTACCTGATAAGTATTATCTTTTTTCATCCTCATAACTACCCTATGAGATAGGGACTATTATCCACTCTTTGTGGGGAGAAAACAGAGACATAAGGAGATTAAGTAACTTAACCAAAGCGTTGCAACTGATAAGTATCTAGTCCAGGATCAAACTTAGGTGATCTGCCAAACCCATAGGCATAACCACTAAATTAAAGTCAAAGAGATTGTGAAATTTCAGAAGCAGGAAATGGAAATGGAGGAAGAGAGTAAGAAACTTTCAACCTCCAACCAGAGAGAGGCATTGGGCTCCGGATAGAAAAGGTACTTATGTTTGCAAAAGAACGCAGCTAGAGCCCTCTTCCCGGGGCAGTGCTTTGGCGGGGCGCGGGGGGCAGCTCTTGTCTGCGGTCCGAGGGTCCCTGCAGTCCCGGCAGGTCTTCGGAGGCAATAGGCGGCTGCAGCTGGGAGCACTGCAAACGCCGCAGCGGCCTCATCCAGGCGAGTGGGCTGCGCCTGGAACGGACTGAGCCGCGCCCGCTGCAGGACAAGCTGCGGGAACCTGTTCTGCGAAAGGAGTGATTTGCCGGGCTGGACAGCCGAGTCCGAAGGGGGGTGGTCACGTGGCCCAGATTGGCGCAATCTGCAGGTCAGTCACCAAAGCCCTGGTAGCCTATTGTCAGATATACCGGGATGAGGCTTCCAAGAAGGCCATCCAAGACATCCTCATCCAGTATGACCCGACTCTGCTGGAAGTGGATTCCCAGCACTGAATGCAAAAAGTTTGACGACCCTGGTGCCCGTGCTCGAGACCAGAAATCCTGCCAATAAACCCAGCATGAGGATCAGGGTTCACCTTTATAATAAACAAGTGTCACCGGACTTAAGGTTAAAACACACACACACACACACACATACACACACAACTTGACTTTCTAGTGGAGTGAAAATAAGGGTGAGATAGTAAAAGGGTCCAGGGATGGAAAAGGGGCCCCTTGACAGTCTGAACCATAAAACAAAACAATGGAAGAAGGAGGTTAACAACGCAGTTTTAAATTGATGGGTCACCAAACAGAAGAGCCTTAGAAAGTGATCTTGTAATTTACCTAAACTGGATATACTTTGTAATTTGCATATTGCCTAACACAGTCTTTAATCTGCTGTTTCATGACAGGTGTCGGGTGCTGCATGTCAATGTTTGGTGGGATGCAGGGCAACAGAAGGACAAATGGTGAAGACCTGTAATGCCAGGGACAGGTCTCAAAGGTAAAAAGCTCTCCTGGTACAAAGTGGAGCATCAGAAAAGAGTGGGGCCCAGAAAGCATGCCCCGGAAGCCACCTGTGTGGCCTCCTAACTCTGTGCAGTGCTCTCCTAAGGTTGGCCTAAGCATCTGGACCCTTAAACATGCAAGATCTGCGGCTAGGGACCGGGGTTCTAGGCCCAACTCTACTGTTTGATAGCCGTGCTCTTTCCAGGAATATCCTCTAAGATTGCCTGAGTTTCTGTCCCCCATCCATCAGGTATGCAGAATGAGAGCTGCCTAGGTGGCCTCATAGGACTGCTGAAGGCCTCAAACAAGAGGGGTGCAAATGGACACATTTGGAAGACTTAAAGTGCTATGCAAACATAAGATATTGCTATCATTATAGTTAACATTAGGTCAGAAGTTATTCTAATATTGTCAGGCTTGCTAAACTTTGAGTCTGGTATCAAAGCTATTCCTTAGTCAGCGGGAGCATTGGGGTTGGTAAGTCACCCAAACCTTTGCCCACATGGCTTCTGCATCCCCCCCTTCAGCCTTGAAGGGAATAGCTTTCCCCAGAATCCAGCCTGCAGACCAGACTCAGTGACCCTTTTGTGAATCAGTTGGCAAAGGCCCCAGGGGGAACCTCTCTCTCTTTGAACCTGTTCATAGCCTATCCACTAAGAAAGCATGGGGGACCCCTTTCCTAAACCAAAGGAATTCAGATTTCAGGGTTTTTTTTTTTCAGATTTTGTTTTTTATTTCCAACATGTACCATTATGTATCATCTCTCTACAAGGAGAAGGACAAGAAGCTGTTCATCTTTTCATCCCCAATATCTTAGCATACTCACTAAACATTTGGCAAGTAAAGGACCCTTTATCCATTAGCCTCATTTCCAGATTTTCAGTGTTGAACTTTCTTCTGATTTCTAACCTTGTTTACGTCCCTCAAGTGGCAGATTATAGTATAGTAGAAACGCAGTTATAGCTGATAATTATTGAGCACTTACTATGTGGTAGACACTACATAAAATGCTGTAATAACATCTTCACATTACATCTCTGGAGTGGACACTGTTACTATCATTATACAATGATGAGGAAATAAAGTTTAGAGAAATTAATTAATTTACCCAAGGTCACAGAATTATTCACTGATGGAAACAATTCAAGACTAGGCAGTCTGGCTTTAAATTCACTCTGAGTTTTTCTTTTGCAGAGAATCTACTGCTATTCATAACCTGCATGGCTGGCATAAGGACTGTTCACAATATGTACTTAGTAAACTTCAACTGAATGAACAAATAAATATTCATTATATTTAAATTTCCACCAAGAATTTATGCGCCTGGGGATGTGTTACCCTTCATTTCTTTAAGGTAGGGTGTCTTATTGTCCATTAGATTTATCCAATTCTTGCCTTTTAATATATTCTTATGTGATGGATAGTAATAATTAAGAATATGTTATTGCTGGGCGCCTGGGTGGCTCAATCATTAAGCGTCTGCCTTTGGCTCAGGTCCTGATCCCAGGGTGCTGGGATCAAGCCCCGCGTTGGGCTCCCTGCTCCGCGGGGAAGCCTGCTTCTCCCTCTCCTACTCCCCCTGCTTATGTTCCCTCTCTCACTGTGTCTCTCTCTGTCAAATAAATAAATAAAATCTTTAAAAAAAAAAAAAGAAAAAAAAAGAATATGTTATTGCTCTAAAATCACAGAGAAGAAAGGAAAAAAACTAGGGTAGAAATTTAGCACTAAATATAAAAAATCCTGGGGATGTTTATTCATTTCTATCATAAGAAGCAGTGGTCACTGGCTTCTCCTGGACTGTGCCAAATTGCTGAGCCTGTGATCCTGGAAGGCTAGGATGTTGCCGGTGCAAGACGGGAAGCCATGTTAGGGTGTTGCCCTTGAAAACTGGCAAGAGGGTGGAGTCAGTTGTGGGCCGTAACTACTGGAAATGATAGGGATGGGGAATCTGTTTGTGGTCGCTGGTTCACTTGCCGCCTGAAATTAGCACCTGTGGCATCTTTGACATGTGTACTGACATGTGTCAGGATTGTTGTTTACTGTTTGCTGTGAATGTAAAGTATCATCGTTAAATATGGGTTGTTGAGGGTAGACAAAAATGAAAGGAGGGTTGCAATGTAACTGGATGAAAGCATGACTGTGTTTCTCCAACTAGCAAGGAAGTGTCTTTCTCTCCTTGCTTTCTTGACAAACTCTGTTGGCTCATTTTGATGTCTTTTTTTTTAACCTGTGTTTCTGTTTTTTTCTATTTTAATTTTTGAAATCACATTTGGTCAAAAGAAGAGGTGGATCCTTGAACACACTTGGATTTACACAACAGAGTGCTGGTTCGGAGTTGGGA